TGCTGATTATTCTTAATTTTCTGTGGATGGACTACTAAAACCAAGAATATGATGCTGTTACTTCAAGAATATTTGTCAGTTGTTACTTACTCAAGAAGAATTTCACATGAGGGAGGGGAGGGTGAGGAAAGGAGAGGAGAGACAGAAAGAGGGAGGGAGAGGGAGAGGGAGAGGAAAAGAGAGGAGAGACAGAAGAGGGAGGGAGGGAGAGGGGAGAGAGAGAGGAGGGGAGGGAGGAGGGAGAGAGAGAGAGAGAGAGAGAGAGAGAGAGAGAGAGAGAGAGAGAGAGAGAGAGAGAGAGAGAGAGAGAGAGAGAGAGAGAGAGAGAGAGAGAGAGAGAGAGAGAGATGAGAGAGAGACAGAGAGAGAGAGAGAGAGAGAGAGAGAGAGAGAGAGAGAAAATAGGGAAACTAGAGGATAAAACAGAATGGGGGAGAAATGAGAGAAGAGAGACAATGGCAAAAGGTGAAAGGAAATGAAAAAGATACGGGGGAGAGGAAAAGGAAGAAAAAAATGCTTGAAAAAAAATCACAAGGTCAAGACTTGTCCATCACTTCACATGTAGAAATGCCTGAGGATAGTTTCAGCTGGAAATTAAATGGAAGGTATCTATCACAGACCTTTTCAAAAACATTATCAAATCTCAAATGATTTTACATTTTCATTCTCTTTCAAGATATTCAGCAGCTTCGTTTCCAAATATGTATCAAATTTTGAGTAAAGTATGTTTTAACTGCAGCATTAGATGTTGACTTCTTAATGCCAATATTGAATTTCTGTGAATTGTGCCAAGTCCCAAGCCCAAAGTTCATTGCAGATCAAACAGGGTAATAATACTTTAGGTGCACTGATATGCCTTCCATTCCTCACACCCAAAACTTCCCTCGTTTTACTTGTGTGCCATTATATAATACGGTGTAAATGTGATGACATCAACACAAAGAGTGTGAGGAATTAATTGTTCTTTAACTGTAAGTACATCTTTGAAGATGTAATCATTTTGTTGAACTGACCAAAATCAAGCGAAGTGAAGAGACCCATGATCCGTCCATTGGATTAAGAAGATTTTTTTTCCCCCCCACATACCCACTGTGACTGGATGTGGATTTTGTTGGGCAGAAATCAGAAACAACCTCTTAAAAAACATTAGCTAAAGTTGCGTATTTGCTGACAGTGTGGTGAAGAAGCCAGTGGATGAGAAGGAAGTATTAAACCACCAGAAAGACTCTTTCAATCCTCAGGTGTGTTTTCCTTTGGTGTTGCCAGCGTAAAAAAGTGCCACAATAAATTTTTTTTTCCCAAAGCTCTACTGTCACTGGAGGAAAAAAAAAAGGCTTGATGAATCACTTCTGAAGGCTACAACTGCTGATCACCAGAAAAAATTAAGAAAGAGTAGATAGTCTCTAATCATACTTGAAATAGTTTTGGAATAAATAAATAACAGGAATAAATTACAGCACAAACACCAGTAGAGTGATTATCCTATGTAATTTGATTCTTTCCCAAAAGGAAGAGAGAAATGAAGAAAAAATCAAGCTAAAAGAAATGAAACGATTAAACAGTTCAATAACTGTTTTAGTGGGATTTATCACTGGTAACAGACAAGACTGACTACTCTTTCTTCATAAGGATCAAATGAATGAGGTACATTTAACAAATACCCAAAAACTTTCTTTAACATGCTACATAAAAAGGAGGGACTGAAATGGTAAACCAGCAATTAATTTTCAATCATTATCATAAATGTGTATGAGTGTATGTGGGTGTGTGGGTGGCAAATTCCTTCAAAATTTCTACAGGCGCAAGTCTTTCACCAAGGGAATAAATTTGCTGCCTGCACGTCGCTGGAAGGTACGAGTAAACAATGTTCATGCATATTAGGTTCCATTTTTCAGGGAACAAATCTTTGCTTTCTGCCTGCTGCTGCACGTCTGGAATAAATGTGTATGAGTGTATGTGGGTGTGTGGGTGGCAAATTCCTTCAAAATTTCTACAGGCGCAAGTCTTTCACCAAGGGAATAAATTTGCTGCCTGCACGTCGCTGGAAGGTACGAGTAAACAATGTTCATGCATATTAGGTTCCATTTCTCAGAGAAGACAAGGTCAAGTTATAAAATCAGATATCTAAGAGTTATTTGTACCATCCACTCACAAAGACAACAGTGGATTATGTTTAATCTTTCATCATTCTAAATAAAAAGAAATTTCACTTTCTTACATTGGTTGCATTGTAAGTCAAATATATTCTTGCTGTCTTCTACTTACCTATGATAATAAGCAAGTCTTTCATGGACACATTCAGGCACTGAGACAACCACACACATCTTAATAGAAAATCATGCAAATGTACTTACACTTCCAAACCTTATACACAGAGAGCCTGATTTGAGAATTTTAGATAGTCAAAGTGAAACTTGCAAGTGAATACATACATAAATAACAAAAAGACAATAAAAGAAATGAACAGTAGGGAGAAATTAGAATATGAAAATGAAAAAAATAAATAAAATAAAAACAACATATTCATTCACGCAACTTTAATCGTACCTGCCAGCGAAAGTCAAGTTTGGGATTACTATTTGTTTCCAGTGATCTGCAAGCCCAAGATCCAGAACATCTCTTTCACTGTTAGGGTGAAACTGACAGTCTTTTACATGGACATATTTCGCTAACCTCCAGAAAGATGGTGCTCTGGTTCCTTCAGAGGAAACTTATCAAACTTGGAACTTACAAGACAATCTGTGCACAGTGCTCCTAAAGTGAAGGAAAATTAAAATTTATTTTCTTCAAGCTTTAAATGATGGGTTGGGACTATTTTGTCAGCAAATTATCTATGGCACATTCACAACACACTTCCCGAAGGGGAAAAAAAGTCCAAGCATTAATGATTACAAACTGCACAAGCCTAAGAAGCAAAAAACAGATTTACAGTAACTTACAATAACAACGAAGTCCAACTTCATCTTCAATATATATATGTATATATATATATCTTAAGGCTCACTTGGTTCCCTTATGATCCTCTTTATGGAGTTTAAGAGTCCATCTAAGAGAGTTCTTACCAGTTGCTGCTGCTGCTTGCGATCTGAGCCTAGACCACTGGTAGACTATGCTAATTCTCACACCTCATACTTGCCATCACTGACACAGGTCCAAGTTTTCTTCTGTCAACTGCAGGGTCAGTAATGTCATTTGAATTCATTACAGCACCATATGGAGATGCTGCTAATCCTTGCAAGGTACTTAGGAATTTGGCGTTCAGAGTACCACATGATCCATCAAAGCTCAATGTGAAGAGCATAAATACTATGTATTCATATTTACCCACAAATGACTACGCAACTGGCTTGGCCTATTGCATTTTTCATACACTAGGGGAAAATATGTTTAAAAAATAATTTACCACAAAAATCTAAATGAGTAACTACTGCAAAAACCCTATGTCTAAAAGATTTGAAACTGATGTTTTGCTGAGTGTAACATTCTTCACATATCCCCCCGTCAGTTGTGTGGCCACTCACAGGTTGTCATGAATGAACATTCCATCAATGGCAGTGTATCTAATGAGTCAAACAAAGTGGTTCCTTAAATGTGAGGTTCCTTCGTTGAAGTTTACAAGTTTTTAAAACTGGTGAATTAACAACTACACTTATAAATCTATATAGATAAGCCAACCATAACCATCTGAGTGCAATAATAAAAAGGCCCAAATACTCCTACATACAGCAAGAGGGAGGCAGCTACCAATTAAAGACTGGCTATTAAGTGACTTGATCAAACACTGACTTGACGCTAGATCACTTACTGGCTCCTCTGTTAGAATGACGGTGAAGTCAGAAACCAGTTTCGTGTTTTGAGATTGGTCGCCTTCCAAAAAGTTACTGATCATTTTTAAAAATGAAGTTCAAATCCTTCTGATATTGGCCAAACTCAGAATTGATGACCAAGTCAGTTATAAGAATAACAAGTATCCTTTGCCAGTTATCTAATTCTTTTCTGAATCAAAGATAAGAAGTAGCAATGCCATCATTCTGGGAGGATAATATCTGATGAATCTCTAAAGAATTGTATAACAGCAGAATTCCCTCATGCTGTATGCATAAATTCTTCTTTCCCATGGCACAGGAATTAAGTCTGCATTGCATACAGCTGGGGAAACTGAAATAAAGATGCAGAGCATGGAGAATTACCATCTCTTATCCACTAACAGCATTCCTTTTTCAAACAATCCTGATAGGTCTTCATGTTTTCAAAACAATCTCCATTTTTCAGGTGATATTTGTTTTATCACATTATCCCTATACATACTACTGTATCTATGCATGAATCTTCTTTCATCTTGATATGCCAGACTTTCAAATTCATTAATTTCATGTCAACATTTAACAAATTTCTTACACATTACTCTCACTAACACACATAAACTGCATATACTCTTGTATTCCAAACATACACACAAATACAGGGTTTATTCATGTGATTTAACAAAATCTTTAATCTTATGTGTTACACACAAATAACTGCAGCTTTTGCTGTTAAAGGATACCACAAACTCTGACCATAATCAGATTTTCTGTTTCAGGGTAAAATCACTATATATTCACCAGGACCATTATCAGTGGGATCATAGACTCTGAACCTTAATTTCCACATGGCTCATTTTCCCAGCAATGACAATTAAAAATATCCTCTATGGAAAGACTTTGTAAGGTCCACGAATGTCTATCTGACCACTCTGTTTCTGCTGGTGCCCAGAGTTGGCAGATGAAATAGAAACCTGATGCACACCCTAAAGTTGCCGTCTCTGCTGATATGCGGGGCGTAAACAGGTCTTCAATGGGAGTCCTGTCTTCCATCAAATCTGAAATCTTCAGCTCCCTTGGGCCCCATAAGACATTCTGTGCTATAGGCTTGAACAGCTGAAGCTTGACGGCTACAGAATGTAATTGATATACACTAGTTTCAAAAAAGTATGAAAAATCACTCACAACTGAAAACTGCTGTGGTTTGTTTTGCATTATATTATCCTTCACTGAAGAATAATAATAATCCACATTAATATTATTTCTTTACAGGTTTGTACCAGTGTGTGCTTACATCTCCCCAGCACTGCAGTAACTTGGCCTATTAGCAAGGAAGAGAAGAGTGCACAGCCTAGGAAGAGAATACAGAGAAGATATCAGACGGAAGACCTTGCAGGAAGATGGGGGTGCAAGAAAGGAAATGAGTAAATTTTGTTTTAAAGAGAGATAATACCATTAAAAGAGTTACTAATCAAATAATCAAAGTATAACAATATAAGATATAAATCAAAGGATATATGATTTATGAGCACAAGCAAAAAGGTGTGATCACAGAAAAAAGTGAGCTATTAAAGCTCAACTATGTAAAAAGAAAAGAGTGAATATAAAGGCTGAGTACACTTGTTTGAAAAATGGCAACACGGTAGAATGGGACACAGTGGGGCAAAGAAATTGGGTTTGTATTGGCTGACGAAGTGAGACACGACAAACTGGTTTTGGCCAATCGCCAACCACATTTGGTAGCGTTCATGGCCAATGAGAACACAACACACTAGGCACCCAATGATGCCACACAGTTGGGTGTTTCTAGCTGCTTGTTGATGCCATTGGGGACATTGGGGAGACTGGAGTGCGTCCATCTCGCAAGCACCCATTTATGGTTACAACAATCTTCCTAGGACCAGCATCATTCCTATGTTCACATAACCATATACCCTGCAATGAGAAAGAGGTAGTGAATAGCATGATGATCAACACCTTCTCACCATGCATAATCAGATATTGGAAGTCAGGTAATAAACTATACTACATGTTTTACCAATCTCTTTACCCACTGGTGACAGGTGACATGATACCAAATCATCATTAATAATTTCAGATGACAATTGGCATCATATCACATTATAAATCTACATCCTCATAACCAGGATGAGACTTTGTGTGCATTTTTGTAAGGTGGACAAATTGCCCAGCTGCAGAGTTGCACACTAATGAATTACCCTCCTTTCCTATGGCAAAATATTTCCCTTATCAACATTAATAGCTACTTTTAAATAATGAATTTTCTAAACAGTAATTAATTGCAAGTAGAAGCTCATGAAAATTTTGGACGATAAATATAAAGATAAGCATATATCAATAGCTATGAATAAGTGCATGATTATTATTACTTGTTTAGTTGTGTGTATGTGTGTAACGTGTGCGTGTGCTCATGTGTCCCTGTATATGTGTGTGTGTGTGTGTGTGTGTGTGTGTGTGTGTGTGTGTGTGTGTGTGTGTGTGTGTGTGTGTGTGTGTGTGTGTGTGTGTGTGTGTGTGTGTGTGTGTGTGTGTGTTGTGTGTGTGTGTGTGTGTGTGTGTGTGTGTGTGTGTGTGTGTGTGTGTGTGTGTGTGTGTGTGTGTGTGTGTGTGTGTGTGTGTGTGTGTGTGTGTGTGTGTGTGTGTGTGTGTGTGTGTGTGTGTGTGTGTGTGTGTGTGTGTGTGTGTGTGTGTATACTTGTGTCTGTGTCTGTGTGTGTGTACATGCAAATAAACCAACAAATAAACCAACAAACACAAATATAATGAAACCTTACGTTGATACATTAACCCACCTGCCAAGTTCCCAAGTTGAGTTTGCCTTCTGAAACTGGTAGTGTAAGAGAGGAACCTATGAAACAGGCCTTGACGTGGGCTGGCTGTAAAGGGACGAGGACAAGAAGGAAAGCAAGCATAAACTGTTAGTAATATGATAGTGGCAATGGGATACATGACTGTTTAATAAAAACTGATATAATTGACATATTTGTCTACTGAACATTTATCAAATGAACAAATTCTAAGATTATAATCAAAGTGTTTATAGGCAGTACAAAAAAAAATGTTTAAATTTATCTATATTCCATGGTTTGGCTTTTATACATGAGAAAATGCTGACAAGATCGTTTAAATCTAGTTTACTATGACTTTGATGGTTAAGGTTATTATTATCTGTTCAGAGTATTGCATTACAGAAGAAAGAACAGTTTGGTGATTAACCTGTGATAATTAGCTCTCTAAGAAATGTTTAAATGAAGAATATGACTATGAGGAAAAGTAATGGAAAAAGATTGAAAATGGAGAAACGTTTCAAAATTGTCCTCTATTCTGCGTGAAAATGACAAGAACACGGTAGCTTTTCTCTTTCAGGTCTCCTTCCCATCTCGGAGAGAGAGAGAGAGTGAGAGAGGAAAACAAAAACAAAAAAGTCTAAAAATACTTAACATGAAGAAAACGCATCAACTGCAGGTAATAATAATAACAATAATGATAATAAAAAAAAGCAGAAAAATACTCCTGCAATATATCAACAACTAAAACTGACTACTTCTAATATACTAAGTCTACTTAAAAATCCCAGAGGCATTATTAATTGGGGGCCACATTTCAATACCATTTAGTCATGCTCAGTGTGCAGTCAGTAATCCATGGTGGCTGGATCAGCTATTCTGTACCCTTT